TAATCAAATTTGGTTATGTAGATCGATTAACACGTGCTTTTCATACTAATAATAATAATATGAATTAAATATGATTAATATGAATTATAAATAATATAGAATGAGGTAATATAAAAATAAAATGAAATAATATAAATATAGAATGAAATAGAATGAAATAAAATGATAATAGTATGAAATAAAATAAAAATAGAATGAAATATTATAAAAAATAATATAAAATAAATATAAATAATATAAAATAAATATGAATATGATTTACAAATCAATTATTCAATGAAAATTAACTATGAAAAGTCATGTGATATGCTAAAATTCATATTACAGCAATAGGATTTATGAGAATTATAAGAATTTCTAATTGTAACATCACTTTCTAAGATCAGATATATTATTAGCTCAACTTGTATTTTCAAAGTCTTGAAGCCATCTGATAGGATCTTGAATGTCACTATAGAAATTAATAATTTTACTTTTTCTCTTTCTTGATTATTATCAATAGCAGTTGTCAATTGATAAAGATTATTAATCAGATTATTGAATTAAGTATTGTCTACCATTTTTTCTTCTTGTTCTTCTTCTGATTCTTCGTTATCTTTTTCTGGTTCTTTATTATCTTCTTTTGATTCTTTATTATCTTCTTCTGGTGTTGGCAAAGATAGATTATCTTGAATTATTATTCAATTTTCTGATTTTTGTAATTCAATTAAGTCTTCTCGCAGTTTTTGTTGTTTACGGTAAGTTACTCTTTGTACAAGAAAATCTGTAGCTTCTTGTTGAAAATTATATAAATATATTTAAATTTCTTGTTCACTTTGCAGAGAATATTATTCTAATAAATCTCTAAGTTGATTTAATGATTTAATATTTGTATTTTTCATAGATTATATTAAAGATATTCACAAGTTAATCTTTAATTTCTTTAAGTTGTGTTCTAGTAAAATTTTCTTTCAAATCTACTTCGTCTTTTAAAGTTTCAAATTGTCTATTGATTTTAACAGCAGTAGATTTTGTTGAATCCAGTTTGAATTAATAGTTGTTTATCCATAAAAGATTCTTTTGGTAAATATTTGATCAAAACTTCTTTTATGTCACTTAAATATTTTACTCAATATCCTTTAATCTCACGAATTTAATATTTTTTCACTAAGTATTCTTTTATAATAGTGCTTTATAACACTTTTGAGTTTTCAATCCACAGAGAATTCTTTTACTAATAATTATTCTTTTATAATGGAACTTTATAATGTTTCAAAATTTCAATTCACACAAGGGATCTAATAATTGTTCTAATAGTACTTTCAAAATAATGCTTTTGAAATTTTGATTCACAAAGAGAGCATCAAAATTTTGTTACTATTTTGATGGGACTTTGAAATACTCAAGGGTATTTATAATATTCAAAGAGGAAATTCAAATGTCTTAATGACAATTCACAATCTTAATAATACTTTATGACTTTAGACTGAATATAAATTAAAGTACAATAAGTACTTATAAGAATCACTTAAAGGTTGATAATAGTTGTATTCTTTTAACGCAATAACTGAACTGCTAAAAAGAGTCCTCAAAATCTCAGAGTCAAAGTTATAGAAATTATAATATTCGTATTATCAGTAATATGAAATCAAATATAAATGTATGAACAATGTATTATTAGCAATACAAAGTCAAAGATAAGTTTATGAGTAATGTATTATTAGCAATACAATTTCAAAGACAGATTTATGAATTATAATAATAATTTCTTTGTTTAATATAATATTCAATAGACTTTGTCACAATGTATTTAGAAGATCTAGAATAAAGATGATAACTTTTATAGTGCTTTTGGCAATCTTGCTTAAGCTACTATAATATATGTTGATTCAAGATCTGTATAACTTCTTATAAAGCTATTATACAAGAAAATGAATACTTTGTTAAAAGGATGTAGAGAGAAGTTTGCGCTTAACTACCTATTCTATATAAAGTACAAACTACTTTTCTTTGAATGATCAAAACTACGTAATAACTAATTAGACGTGATAATTGGAAATTACTATCTAAAAGGACTTGCTTATATCTACTTCTAATAACTATGATACATGTTGTTTTTATACAAATTTAAGATATAATTTATTAGCTATACGAATTTATGTTTACTATATCACTTAAATTTTATTGGTTTAATATTTGTTCACTCATTCATTTAGTTATTTATTTATTCATTCACTCGTTCACTTGTTCACTTGTTCGTTCATTTCACGTGATTTGATCTTTATCCAATAAGATGTGAAATATGTATAATCCAATAATATGAAATGTTATGACAAAAGATCATTATACAATAGGATGATATTTGTAGTTGAATTGAGTTCAAAAATTCAAGACAAGAGATCACCATTTGTTATTAAATTCAGCTAGTGGAATTTCAAGTGGTTCAATAACATCAAAGAGAAGAACGCGCTTTTAATTAGGAATTAAAGTTGCGAAGTTCATTTTTATATAGCTCGTTGTTGAAAATGGTGTGTTTTTAGTTTTTTAAGAACGTGTTTTTTTATTTTTGATCAGAAAATTTATACATGATTAACATGTATTCAAATTGATTGTAACAAACATAACAATAACAAGAAATATAATGCAATGAACAAAAAAAGAAAAAGTTTTATAATGAATAAAAAAAGTAAATTTTATAATGAATAAAATGATATTAATGATAATGAGAAATATAATGCAATAAGTAAAAAAAGAGAAAGTTTTATAATGAATAAAAAAAATAAATTTTATAGTGAGTAAAATAATATAATAAATAACCAACAGAAAATAAATTTAGTAGAATAACATTTGTAAATAATCAACAAGAAATGAATCTAGTTTATTAATGCAAAAAAAATATTTCGTTTAATATTAAAACATTAAAAAAAAAATTTTACTCAACACATTATGCTTTTTACATTGAAATTCTGACTACCAAGAACATATTACCAGCAGTATTACAAAGAAATAGCTCTTCAAGACATAAGTAATTTTGTAGGTACGCACGAGTTAGTGTAAAGCAAAAAAGTTATTTTGATATTTATCATAGATCACATTACACACTTGGAAAATTGATCTCCGACTACAGTGATGGATCACTTTCCGGAATGAATATCAGTCACATTATCCTGTGTCAGGTCACATGGATACCACGCTTTAACGCATCCCTTTTTTAGGCACCACTAAGTAAGTTTTTAAATATTCACTCTGCAATTTTATTGTACTCTTTATCAACAACAATGTCAGGAGAATTGTGTAATAACTGATGCAATTCAAGAATACAATGCAGGTTTACTTGAATAGTTAGTTATTAATGTATCATTACCTTTTTTGATGGTGGCTGTGTTTGATTATCATGATTATTATTATCATCAAACACTCGTTTGTTCCTCATTTCAAATTTCACAGATGCAATTATAGAAATGACTTTCTCTAAGTTTGAAAGAGCATCTTTGTTTAATTGCGCTGCAGTGTGTACAATTCCATTCACCTAATATGAATATAAGTTATAGGAGACTGAAATGGAAAGATTATTCAAATCACATATAATAAGATCTACCTGAACTTCTGTCATTTCTGCCTGAGCCCGCATAAAATCCAATTTGGATTGTTCAAGTAACTTGCTCTTTATGTTAATATTTTTCTTCTGTCCATGCATCTCCCAGAAGATTTTTATTTGCTTCGTCTTTTTAGCACTCTTGTATAAAAAAAATGGTAAATTAGTGAAATGTATTCGTCGTCATATAAAGTAGAAAATAGGAAAAACCGCAGATGAACAAGCAGTCTTTTCCTTATGAACAAGCAGATCGAAAGGTAGTTCACGAGGATCATTCTGGATCAACCAGCAGTTTTTTCCTTTACAAACAAGCAGATTGCAAAGTAAGTCCATTAAACTATATGCACGACACACCATTGGAAGATGTGCACAACAACAAACAAGCAGTCTTTCCCAATACTAACAAGCAGATAGTATGATAGTTGGTGAGGCACAAGAGTCGAATGGTCTTTGAAGTGAACAAATAAAATACAGGTAAATATAAACATGCCTTAAAAGTTAGTTTCCATTTTTACTTTTTTCCCAATTTCAGATATTTTGGTATAGTGTGAACTAATAGTTAACAACTCATTCTTGTAATTATTATGCTCAATTTGCATATCCAGAATGAAGCTGAAAATCCAAAAATTTTTTGAGCGTAGGTTCTTTAGTGTTTTCCCAAAAATCTATATAATTATAAATCGCAGATTAAGAATGGGAAACCCATAAAGCGTTACATATTGCATCACTTTTCTTACCGCGGTAAAACAAAGCGTTAAGACACTCAGATATTAAATTCATTTTGAAGAAGTTAGTATTTTCTTTGTTTATTTAAATAGTTAATGTGTTAACGATCCAAAAAGCGTGTTAGATGCGTGTCATTACTGCTAATTTATTTATTCCCCTTGTTGATTATCTCGAATTAATGACTATTTTAATGTCACAATACTATAAAATCACATGTCCCAAACGGTCTGCAATAATATTTCTTAGAACAACTTTGAAAGAAAATGAATAATTAAATGTAAAATATACTATATGTTTGCTATTTTTAATTTTTTCTTTAACAAATTATAATTAATAAAATTTTTGTTGAATGGTAAATAAAGAAAATGATATATAATATTATTAACCAACATCTCAAGTAATAATCATGAAATCCAGGATCTTCTGAAGCAATAATTCATGAATGTGAGACATAATTCGTGACTTGAAGCATAATTCATGACACGAAGCATATAATTTGTGACGTGAGACATAGTTTGTTAGTTTTTACTATAATAATAAATGAAAAATTGCAATTCAGCAAGAATTGTGTATTTTATTTTATAGTAATAATTATTAAGTATAATTAGTATAATTAATAAAAAATTAATATAAAATTATTAAAATTTTTTATTAGAAGAATGATTATTCATAAATATAGTAAGATTTAGCAAAAAACATTAGTGCTCAGTTATCATGAAGGCTTCTTAAATTATAATTGAAGCAAAATATTAGTATTGATTTATAAAGCTTATTATTATATAGAAAGATAAAAATGGATAATAAGTTTGTTGTTTTGTATTAAATCTGTTTGTCCAGAAACTTCACTCTTTTGTTTTGTAATAGCACATTTTGTTTTATTATTTTAATGTTTATTATTTTTCTTTCTTCTTAATAAATTTTATAAATAATTCTTACTTTTCTTAAGTAAGTTTCAAGTATTTGAGTATCATTTATTTTGAAAATATAAGAAGCAATTTTTTCATCTTTAAAATATTTCTAATACAGTCAAATCCCTTTATAGTTACCATTCTTGAAAAAGCAAAATTTGGTGATTATAAAGAGAATGTAATTATAGAGGAATTTTTTACCATGTTTATATGTAAATATAAAAGCAAAATAAAATGAATATAGAGAGGTGTAACTATAAATGGATGTAACTATAAAGAGATTTGACTGTAATGTTATAATTCTTTGGTTCTATAGTAGACCTGATATAAATTAATTTTATATTAACTATTTTTATTTAGAGATAATCCTAAAATATCATGATTGTGATGTTAAAAACAATATTGATTTCTGAAATTCTTGGTAATATCAATGTTTACTTTGTCTGGTTTTGTTGCAACATGTCCCATATAATTTAAAAATATTTTATAATAATAATAAATATTCAAGTTTGGTTCGATTTGAACGCCAAATCTTTCTTGAATTTCAAAGTCCAGTTCGATTCATAGAAACACTAATTTGGCGCTTCTTTTGGTGAGGGTTCCAGCCTGGGCCAACCACATTTGTTTATTTTTGTTTGATAGTGATGGTATTATGCAGACAGAATTCAGCCAATCATTGATATAGGTCATGTACCATCTTCAGTTTCACAAATAAATATTAAGATTTCGAAATTCTATTGGTTGATCATGATATTCAACACATTGATATATATTTTTGCACAGTACAACAATAGCAAAAAACAAAAATGGGTATTCTTGAAAAAATCCAAGAAATAGAAAAAGAAATTTCACGAACTCAAAAGAATAAAGGTAGATTAAAAATGAACTTACTTCAAATGTGATCTTTAGCAATGCTACAAATTATTTTATAAATCTTCTAATGGTTTTCAGCCACGGAATATCACCTTGGCTTATTAAAAGCAAAGTTAGCACGATATAGGGTTCAATTATTAGAACCAACCAAAGGAGGAGTCAAGGTAAATTTTAAATGATTACGTTTTCTTTTCTAATTAACCTCTAACGAAATTAGATGAATAATATAGGGAGAAGGATTCGATGTAATGAAAAGTGGGGATGCGCGAGTCGCATTAATAGGATTTCCATCGGTGGGCAAATCTACATTACTTAATAAACTTACGAAAACACATTCAGAAGCAGGTGCATACGAATTCACCACATTAACATGTATTCCAGGAAAGATCGAATATAATGGAGCTAACATTCAGTTACTTGATTTACCTGGAATTATTGAGGGTGCATCTCAAGGTAATAATTCTATTAATCATTCTGTATCTATTTTTTAATATCTCTAAAATAGTTTTTAATTTTATTTAACTATTAATTAGGTAAAGGACGTGGTAGACAGGTTATTGCAGTTGCTAAAACAGCAGATGTGGTTCTTATGATGCTGGATGCAACTAAAAGTTATCAACAACGGTAAATATTTATTCTGATTTCTAATTCCTCTAACCTAAATTTATTTTATAAAATATTTAAATATTTAAGAATTTTCTATTGGATAGAGCATTACTAGAACGGGAATTGGAAGCTGTTGGGATCCGATTGAATAGACAGAAACCTAATGTTTATTTCAAGGTATGAAATGCATATTTTTTGTATATCTTTTTTCTTACTATCGTATTAAATATTACCATAATATTATTAGGTTAAAACAGGAGGTGGAATAGGTTTCAATTCAACTGTTCGATTGACTCATGTGAATGCTCAAATGGTATATCAAATTTTACATGATTATAGTATGTATGTGGTTTTTTGTTTATTCTGTAAATTTATTTTATTCTATTCTATTCTATTTTATTTAATTACTTTTTTTTTATTCTGAATAATAGAAATATTCAATGCGGAAGTATTAATAAGAGAAGATATTACAGTGGACGAATTCATCGATGTGGTTCTGGGTAATCGAAAATACATTCAATGTCTTTATGTAAGTTGATTAAATTTTTTTTTAATTACAAATCAACGTTTCGCTATTATTCATTCATTTCAAAAAAAATTAAAGTGTTATAATAAAATAGATTCGATTACTTTGGAAGAATTAGATCGTCTTGCTAGAGAACCAAATACAATTGTAATAAGGTAAGTAAAGAAACTAATTTCATTTATCCAGATGAAAACTTTTTTTCCAAAAATAATTCAAGTTTTATTTTATGAATTAGTTGTGAATTAGATTTGAATTTAGATTATTTAGTGGAAGAGGTATGGCGACATCTTAATTTATTGCGTGTATATACTAAAAAACGAGGAGGTATTTGTTTTTCTTTTTATATTTATGTCATTATATTTTTTAAAGTTTTGCTTAATTTTAAATTTTTTTAAAAAGAATATCCTGATTTTGAGGGTGGTCTGATTGTTAGAAATGGATCTACCGTTGAACATGTGGTAAATAAAATTTTATTTGTTTGTTTTGTTTGTACTACGTTATATCATTTATATACATTCCATGAAAAATAGTGTCACTCCATTCATCGATCACTAGCTGAAGAGTTTCGATACGCGTTAATATGGGTAATATTCTAATTTGATTAAATAATCGAAAATTTTTAGCATGCTAATTTTTTATTCTTCTGACCAATTAATTAGGGGACTTCAACAAAACATAATCCACAACGAGTCGGATTATCGCATGTGGTTGAGAATGAGGATGTGATTCAAGGTATTATTTTTATTTGTAGTTTTTTGATTCTTAGTGTCTAGATTTTAATCAAATTCTCTTCTTTTGAATTAGTGGTGAAAAAGAAATAAAAGATCCTCTTTACAAGAAAAAAATAAATTCGAGCCAACGCATTATTTGTTACAACATATGGTGCAGGAAATCTGTACTCAACAATCATGTGACTTTGTTTCAAAATCCGTGTTATAAAAGTCACGTGATACATAGCACGCGAAAAATATCAGATTTTCTAAATTACATTTCTATAAAGGCAAATAGACTGTTGAGTACGTGCCTTTTAATAAATTGAGAGAATAGCAGAAGTTTTATTTCTTTGAATGGTATATAATAGCAGTACCTTTTTTTGTAAAAGATTATGTGTATGGAATTCCACACCTATATAATTTAAATTATCGATAAATTGAGTTTTTAATGGTAAAATGAGAGAATAATTTTAGGCATGGATTCTATCTAGGCAAAAAATTTTAGATTCAGGAAATTTGGCAGAAATCATCATGAATCTTCGTAGATCTTTATAATATGTGTCACTAATTTGCTAGAAGTAATTTTTTTTCGATAGTCATCAATTTACCCATCTCGAAGTAATCGAATCAATATTATCATAAGTAGTAACTTTTTTTCTCTGAACGTATCACTATGTTTTTACCAATAAATAGGGAAATGTATTCCGTATTCATTGGTAGCATTAATTATTACCTCACTTATAAATTATTACCACACGTATAATCGTAACGTGAAATCATCAAGATATCTAACAAATGGACTCTTCAATCGCATTGATCAATGTATGCGACTGCAATCTTTGGCAATGGAATTTTTTTGATTTTTATTATTCGTTTTACCAGTCGTCGGTATGAATATTTGGTGCTCAAATTATTTATTATTTACTAAATACTAAATTAAACTAATTAAGTTATTAATAAAGACTAAAGATTTTGGTGATGATGGTGATATACTTTTGGTTGTCAAGAATAAGATAGAAAAAAGACAATTTCACGGGGTGTGAAATGGGCAGAGAGGGTGTTCTATATTATTTTGCGTGTATTATTTTTCTTGTCATTATTATTATTTTTATCTTAAGAGAAAAAGCAAATCTATATATATGTGTGTATTAAATCTATTTGTATGTATAAAAAATCGGCCTAGCATTGTTTGGGTGATTGGAAAAAGGGAATTGTGATTTGGTGTGATTAAGAAAAAAATACAATTAAGGCATATAAGTGAACAAAAAGAAAGCTTATTTGAAACATTGTGGCATTAGTAGGGGTTGTGTATAAGGATGATTGTGAATAAGGATTGTGTGTAATGTGCGAAGTGAATGAGATGACTTGTAAATTTTTTCATTCTCTCCGTTAAAATAGAATACAATAATTAATAGTAAAAATGCAATATTAATGAATTAATGGTTTGTGTCTATATGAGTGAGTTTGTGTGAAAATGAAATGAAATGAAATGAAATGTTAAAACCCTTTTCCGAAACCTGGCCTTTCTATGAAAATATATGTATATAATAATAAATGTGAATGTGTGAATTATTGCAAATGCGAAGTTTTTGAGTGATGCAAAAAAGAAAGAAAAACAGAATAAAACAGAAAATATGAACGAAACGAAACAGAGTTTTTCATGAACTATATAATTACTGGCTAAGATAAAAAATAAAATCGTTGAAATCATAATATGATCATCATTATTAATGTTTGTTTTATATATCGATGAATGGATGGATGAATGTAAGAGAATAAATAAATTACATAAATTCGTTAAATTCGTTGATTCATTATCGTTAGAGGCAATGGAGCTTCAATTGGCGACGGATATCCGAATTTATAAATTTCATCAACATTTTGTTGATTTGAATTGGAATTGGTGATGGCGGTTGGTGGTTTATACGGCAGGAAGCGAGATTGTGGTGCGGTGGAGATGCTCAAGAGATTATTAGCTTTTCGACCAATCTTTAATGGCGAACTCGGCAAGTAAAGACAATCGATTGCAGGTAATATATTCGCACTAACAGCAATTGTGGATCCGCAGCAATCACAATAGCTATTATTATTGTTACCATTATTTTGACGATGACGAGTATAATGAGAATTATGTGATTGTTGCTGCTGTTGATTATATTCGATATATTCTAGGGAGGCCGAAATCGTGTCTAATGGATAGCAATCGGTTTGTGGCGGACTTGGTGGTCCATTGAATGAAATATTACTATGAATCGGTCTGCATGCTTGTTGTCTTCTTGCATTATAGGCACTGTTTGATAGATCCAAAATGAAATGATTATTATTTGTGCAATTAAAATCCAAAACAGACACTCGCACAAAAACTTACGTGTTGTACTCTCTCCAATCTGGATCATGCGTTTTTCGATGCCGGGTTAGCGTAGTTCTCCGAGTAAAGGTCTTGCCACAACCTGAGTGCAAGCAAACGTATGGTCTTTTACCGGTATGGGTGCGGCGATGACGAGCTAGTGATGAAGACTATTTTTGATGAACGAGAAATTATTAGAATATTTTTTAATTTAATTTGTAATCTACTGATAAAAAAGATGAAATAACGGGAAAAGGGTTATGTAAACAAAAACGCACAGTATACGCCGCGCTTTTTACAATGAAATAATCAACGCCAAGAAATAGGAGAAAAACAAAACATTGATATTTTTGGAGAAATAGAGAAAATAATTAGATGATTAATAATTAAAGATGAATACTTACATCACTAAACGACTTACCACAACCTGCTTGTTCACAAGTGTGTGGTCTCTCGCCAGTATGAGTACGATAGTGAACTGTCAAAGCCGAGCGTTGTATAAATTGCTTTCCACATCCTTGCCATTCACAATGATATGGGCGTTCTCCTGTATGAATCCTCCGGTGTCGAGCAAGGTCTGATCGTCTCGAGAAAGCTTTGCCGCATTCAGCCCAATTGCATTCATAAGGCTTGTCGGATTCTAGTTGTATCATTTCCGTATCGGTATTTTCTCCTCCACTATTTGAATTCGGTGGGCTTGCTGGTGCACCCAGCCCACCATTCACACCACTCACATCATTGTTTCCTACTAGTAATATCATCCTGTTCTTGTTGAAATTCTGACTATGGGTCGCGCGTGAATCTTCATTTAGAATATTTTTGAGGTCCATTGTATTCAGAATTTATTGGTTGATTTGATCAGGCTTGTGTATATATATATATATTTTGATTATGTATTATTGGTAATCGCTGATTGGCGTAAAGGCGTAACAAAAGATTGAATAGAGATGGGATAATAATCCTCTCGTTGGGGTATGCGTAAGAATAATAAAAAAATAATCAAGACACTATTAATGATTGTTTGACAGATCTCTTCACGAACAAGAGAAAAAAATCTGAGAAAAATAAAAAACGAAAAGAAATGATATATTTATGTGCTTAGAATTTAATAGGAGGATGATGAGATGTATAAAGGATTCAAGAGAGGTGGTTAAGAAGAAAAAAAGGAATGAAGGGAAAAAAATGTGTTTTTTATAAAAAGATTGTAAATAATAAAGGACCTTAATATTAAATTAAAAACAAGTTAAAATCAAGTTAAGTATAGTCGGTGTATAATAATATAATATCTTATATAATATTAATAAAGAATAAAGTAATAAAATATCTTTTACTTTATTCTAATAGAAACTAATAACTTTCGTTGTCGTTGTCGGAGAATTTTGCCACGTATTTTGTGCGCAAGAATTTTTTGCGTGAATTACGCGTACAAGAAGAAAAGAAAATTGAAAAAAATAGAATATTTATAAACTTATTCGTGAGAATACTGATATTATTGAATGTATAAAATAAATGCTTATTGATAATAATAATAATAATAATATATATATATATATATATTATTAAAATTTTTATTTATACTATAATATGTTGAAATATTTGCAATGACGGTTTAGAATAAATGCATAAATAAAAAAAAATAGAATGATCGGAGGAACTAATTTGAAGTATTGATTATTTATTATGGAGTTTTTCGGAATTTTTGTAAAGTTTAATTTTATGTTTTTTTTCTTGATTTGTATTTCGTTACAGGAAATACAGGAAATGAGATGATTCGTTACGAAGTTTGAAATTCGGTTTGTCTCTATTCTGTAAAGTGGTTTCAGGTAAAATTTTTTCGGGATGCGTAACGTTAACGTTCAATAGTAATAAAAACCACAAAATATAGTAATTATTACTACGAGAAGAAATATGAAAAAGAAAAAGAGTTTATCGTCAAATTTTCGTAAGAAGAAAGCGAAACAAATACTAATAAATTTTCTCTTTCTTTTTCTCGATCCTTCTTATTCTTTTTCTACACTCGATGAGTTTAAATATAGCTAAAATTATATTGTTATAAATTAAATGACACATAATATGTATATGTACATGTACATGTATTGTATATATGATACATTAATTTGAAAATTTTTTCTTACGTATGCCATTGCTATTGTTATTGTTTTTTGTTGTATGTGTGGGGTTAATGTGTGTATATGTATGCAATGATAGAGTAGCATATACATTAATTATGCGATAGTAATATAAAAAAAATAACCCCTTCCTTATATCTTACATACATGGTATAGTATATTATTATCTACTATTGTGATGAGGGAGTGAATCATTCAATTAACGAAAAAAAAAAGGAAATCAACTTTTATTTCAATTTCATACTCGTAGGTTTACTAAGTTAATAATTATGATATTACGGGGGAAATATTTTGAATAATATAAATAAAGCAATTACGAATATCAAAAATGAATTACAGGGACATATTTAATATTTGAGACAATGCAATACTCTATAGAGAGAATCATTTCAAATCCTCATAACGAAAGAATTGAGTAAATTGAGAAACTAATACCCGATAAGAATCACCTCCTTTTATTTAAAAAGTAGTACCAATAACTTTAAGAAATGCGAATGATCATTTAGTTTCTCACTAGTGTGAATTTGTAAATCACTAGAGTGTGAATTTTGTAAATCCATTAGGTAAGAAAAGGTTTTAAATAACGATAAGATTACAACTAATCGTGGTTAGACCAGTCGATGACAATTTGCAATGCATTTGTTTTCAGAATTATTCCATCAATTCACGGAATCTACAAGACGTAACAATATATGCATTATTTGTACGTTGGGGTTGTTTGTTTGTTAAAATTTAGATGTTTATTATTTTCTATTTAAAGAGGAAAGAAGAACATATTGTACATGTGTCGTCATATATTTGGCCGACTAGCCTATGGCGCGTAATTCGCATTTATTTCATTTCATTTATTTGTTAGGAATTGGCGTCAAATGACGAGGACAAACGAAGATGACAATATCAGTAATCCTCTTTGTTTGATTAATTTGGACTCGGCTTAATTTGATCGATCTAATTATTCCGCCAAATCCCGCCAAATTCTATTATATATAGATGTATTTTACATGGTAGATTACACGTATCTAGCATCTAGTGTAACCGATCCCTCATATTCCAAATTAGTAAAGAATATAACGATAATAAAATTTAAGCAGGGCTTAGCCGGGAATTGAACCCGGGACCTCTCGCACCCTAAGCGAGAATCATACCACTAGACCACCAAGCCGCTCGAAGCTACAATAATTTGATTTTTTTATTAATTTATTATATTATAACGTACATCTATTGAATATGCCAATATCTCCAAGTCATGTTGGGTATATACTAACGCAACGTGAGGAGAGCGTCTGTTCTTCTCAAAACACTAATTTTCAAGTGAAACCAAGGTTTCGCAGACACATTTCTCCGTACATTTCACATACGTAACATCTCCCGACGCGCATTATTGTTTACTTATCGCAGTTATTACCGTTACGAAGCATGATTTAGTTATTATGTAAAATGCAAGTACGCACATACCATCTTCTCGGTCGACATTTCTTCCTTGATTCATCATATTGATATGAATGAAATCACAGAACTTCCTTGTCTCCCTAACACATATAATAACCCCCCGCACGCATATAATTACATGCACACCAATAAACAAAAACTTCAGAGATTCGGTTCGTAAAAAATTCATCATGCTTGTTGTAGATGCAATTTGACACATTCCTATTCTTAAATTATTGCTTTCACACATAAGCTTACATATTTGAAAAATAATCAACACGTAATATGTATACATTGTAATGAGTTGCTGGATTGGTCTCTGGATCTACTATTTATTATTTATTTATTTTCACTACAGCTGTCCATTGTTCTCGTTAACGAGTTTAGAACATCCGGTGACGCATGCAATTTGTCCTTGGTTCGTTTAGATTTTTGTGTCATTATTGATGTATTATTAAGAAGAAAATAAAGCAATCCGAGAAATAATCTATCTTTTGGTCGTCACAGGTTCTATTCATCCCGGTGCAAGAATAGAAGGATGTTCTTCCATTGTTATAGAAATTTCTCCGTATTCAGATCATTCTAGATTCAATTCAAGTTTTGATCAGTTCACGATTTTTCAACAATCTGCTTCATGACACTTAACAATAAAACAAATGACCCCAAATTATTTAATCATCTTCACTTTACTAAACGGAACCCGATCAGAACAGGATGTCATCAAAACTTTACTTAAATTAAATACGATGCTAAAAATAAAATTTTGACGCGCTATCAATGAACCCTGAATTTTCGGTTTTAGACTTTAATTACAAACGAATTAAATCAAAATGAAGATTCCTGTTTTGGCTTATAATAAATGCATGCAAATATATATGCAGTCCATGCATCCATTATATACAAACGCGATTATTTACCCCCTCAAAATTTTTTTTCTTTGATGCATTTTAAAAACTATTTTATGCATTGTATTGCATTGCATCAAATAATTTAACATGCAAGTTAAATGACACATATTATTACCACGTTTTATGGTAATAACCGAAATAGTGCTGTATTGTTTACGCGGCTATTCTCTCTCTATTTAGTATGGGGTATGTGTAATCGACATAACAATAACTATTTTGGTTAGTTAATACGACACATTTATTTCATTTCTCGTTTATTATGTTATCAGAAATTTCTGAGTCCCGTGAATCGTGTGGTATTAATTTTTTTTTGATTCGGAGTCGCATGCAAATAACTTGTGGAAACATGTGAGTGTACCGCATTTATTGTTCGGATGTATATTAAAGAACACAGCTTGGATAAGAATTTGTGTCTATTCCTGAATCGTTAACAAACAACAACAACAACAGCAGCAGCAGCAGCAGCACTATATTAAATCCTAACAGATGATGTATGTACATTGTGTGCAAGGAGGTTATATTAAAAGATATTAAAAGAAAGTTTACATTGTGAATGCATAAATATTTTGATCTTGATTTTGTTGATATTAGGTAGATATTAGGTCAGAAAATATGCAGAGTCTTGATCACGCTTTCGGTTACTTATTGTTGAAAAATCAACAATGGATAAGGAAAGATAAAACGGGAAAGATAACGTAACCTTTCTTCATAAGCGAATGGGGTAAAAGCACATGAAAGTATGGTATGCACAGTATAATCAGTGTTTATGTAAAAACGATATGCGTGATTTTTGATAATTATTGTGACAGATTATAACAAAACCAGATTAAAATGAAATCAGATTATAATAAAATCAAATCAAAATTGGGATAAAAATTTCAGAGAAAGGTTAGGGTTCGGTTAGAGCATAGAGTATAGCATTAAAATCTGTAATGTATTGACCTATGATTATTTAAACATCCCACTCCGTTTCGATTTAATCTGATTTTCATTTTAATCCGCCACAATTATTAAATTTTCAAGTTACATTGCAATGTGAATTGCTATGTTAAAGCTAAAGCGAGCCAATAATCGAGTTTCAATACTAAATCGTCAATCAGTCCATATCGATATATGTAATCGGTTTTAAATCATCGGCAGATCAGCTTGGTGATTATATCATCGAGAGATCCGATTTAATAAAGTCTTTTCTTTAATCGAAATCCTTAGAAACTAATTACAATAAAAACAATGACAATGAGCAAAATTTTCATCGAAAACCTAACTTATAATTAAAGACCTTGCGGTTTCTTTTCCTGTGCAAGATAATTGACATGAAACTATAAAGTAATAAAGACACGTCAATGATATGTCCTTGTTCGTGTTCATACATGTACACATTTTTATGTGAGTTATTAATAGGAGAAGACGTTAATTTCCATTACGTCTGTGTGCACGTGCACGGATAGTTTATTTATTATTATGAACTATTAATAACAAGTGGAATACGTTTTTATTAGTGAACAAATGAAAAGAATTCTTTAAATGAGTTGATGTGAGCGCACGGATATTATTTATCATCATTGGTAATACATTTTCAAACAGATACGAAGTAATGAAACATTCTTTATTGATCCATTCATTCTTATGTGCCTCTGAGTCAACATAAATAATAATATAAACCACGAATGAATTAACCAGCCAACTAAAGGAACTGTCAACTTTAACTTTAATTTTTTGTTCTTTACTAGATAGGAGAAAAGTCAATCAATCACTCACTCACTCACTCAATCAATCAATTAATTAGAACTGCGGAATGAATAAATACATTGCATACGCGCCAAACATATTCTTACATAAAAAGCAAGATGCTTATGCAAAAAAGAGAGTTATGCACAAACACGTTTATACATATACACAAATGAAATTCTAGGGACGAAGATGAATTCTATTCTAGGCTCTCTTTCTTTGATAGTAAATTTTTGAATGTTTGTATATTAAATTATGTACTGTATTGTATTAATAATAGTATTTATGACTAAGATTGCAATAAAGACCATTACATAAATACATTATCAGTATTACTTTACGTATAAATAAATATATATTCGGTATGAAAAATTAATGACAAAGATAATTTATTATTGATCATTAACTAATCTTGTTAAACAAAAACAAAACCTGCATTGTGACTACAGCTAACAATTATTGTGATCTTTCAATGTGTCAAATTTGATTATGATTATTATGATTATTATTATTATTATTATTATTATTATTATTATTATAGAATTTATGAAGAATACTAATCTTACATTCACTAGCTTTTTGACATGTTTCCTGTTTTAATGACACGTTGTACGCTATTTTTTGACACATTTCTGTTTTAATGACATGTAGTACTCTAATTCCGGATGTAAATTGGTGGTGGTCAATGCGCGATTTTTTTTTCGTAAATGGCTTTTTGTTTAACCAAGCAACTTGAATGTGACCAGTAGATTTTTCGGACCTCGGTTTATTTTTATTACTCTGATAGATTTTTTGGACTTTTCACATGGAAAGAATGGACAAATTAAAACGTGCAAAGAATGAAATAAATGCAGGAATAGATGTATTTACTTGGGTCTGACTCGGGATTTTAATCTCGGGCATCATGAGCAATTTGGGTATAGCGATAGGTAATTATTACCGAAATCGGAAATTAGCATTATTGATTTCATTCACATAATAGCATATTTTTTATTAGTATTTTGATTTGGAATGAAATTCGAATCGATTTAAAGAGACAAAATTCTTTTTGCGTGTGCGACTTTGAAATTTTACACTTGCCAATCGTTTTATTCAAGAACAATGGAATAATCATTACGTAATGCGTCATGATTTGCTTATGCATAAATTCTGACAGGATAAAGAATTGTTTTCTTCTAATTGGTTATGCTGGTAAATGAATGAATGAATCGTGAGTGAATAAAATACTTAATTCTTGTCATATTACATAATTATCAATAGAACATGTAGGAAATAGAACAGGGATACATACAATTCTAAAACCTGTTAGTGTCAACTTTCTTTGTTTAGAAATTGATTATATAAAGTTGTCGTTTTATTTTCCCATGCACACGTTTTATATATCTTACAGAGCGAATACAATGTACATACAAACAAATGAAACACATCACAAGTGAAACGAAAATTTAACAACAGTCGTTTTACTCGCACATCATCCATATCCATATTGACTAATAATATTGGTCGTATCTCCGCAATGCATTAACTCGTATGAAACTGACATTTTCGCATAAATTCGTGACTCGTACAAGTTCGGGTATTATGTACATACCAGAATTAGTGAGATTTTAGGATCAGTGCACGCACCTCCCTTAAAACCTTAAGTTGACGTCGAAGCTTTCTCACTCTCTTCTCTAAACTCAAGATTGCCATTCTTCATTTAGAATATATACAATCGCACTCTTCCAAATACATCCAATTCCAAGAGTATGCATCAAGGGAAGTGTGACTGTATAGCTATTGTAATACAGTCACAGTTCTCTTGATGGAACTGGTTTATTGCTATCGCTATAAAAAAAAATGACATGGTTTTATGCAAAGTAGTTTAAAGTAGTCGCTTTTTATTAATAAATAATCTTCGCTATGTAGAGAGGTTCGTCCAAGTTAAAGTGAACTTTACTGTGTACTACTTTGAATTTTAGCAAAAATTGACCTAATTTTAAAATATAAGAAAATACAGTAAAATATACAGTAAAATACAGTCGACTCTCTCTATAGAAAGAGTAGTGGGCTCTATAGAAAACATAGTGATTTTATATAACGAACTTTTTTTACTAACAGAGCCGTCAGTTCGTTATCGAGAGAGTTAGCTGACTGTATATATTGAATTTCGCATAAATTCAAAAAGATACTGAATTTTAGACAAAGATATTCATATGCCGATTTTTTTATCTAAATTCAATTATTTTTCCCTGAAATTAAAATATCCGAAATTTTATCTGAAATTAAGGACACTTTGTTTAGGATTTATTAATTTTTTGATAAATTGAAATTATTGTTGAAATTGATACTTTACTTAAATTCGAGATATTGTTTCATTTTGACTAGAATTCAATGTATTTTGTTGAATTTATGCTGAAATTCTAGTATATTTTTGTATTAAATTTCGCCCAAAATTTATGTCGAAATTATGTTTAATCTGTGTTGTGTGATAGTAAATAAAGAAATACAGAAATGACATTTCATTGATCTTAACGTCATTATTATCATATTGTTACGCATAATGACATTAATTTTTAACGCAGTTCGATTTATGGTGTAAGACAAAATGCTAGCCAATCAAAAATCAATACGACAATTGACGAACGACGCGTAAATAATATAAATATCGAGAGTCCAGAAAACATCGGTAACAATATACGAATCAACACCGCAGCAATAACAATTATTAACAATAACAATGAGCAATGTCTGTCAAGAACTATTTTTGCTATAGTTGCGTGTCAAAAACCACGAGAAAGCAAATAGTTCGATACAAAAATAAGAATATATACTCTATCATTCGAGACTTGCCACCTCGGCCACCAGCAAGACTTGGTTTCTATGAGGATATGGATGGAGAGGAGGAGGACAAGACACAAAACGTTCCACCAAGGCCTCCAGCAAGATTAGGTTTCTATAATGAAAATCCTTTAAAAGAACGCAGAGAGAAAGAGGAGGACTGGGTGAAATGCAGCTCCGATGTCACAATAAACAACATCAAAGAAACGACAATCTGGGGAGAGACACAACAATAGACAGGCAAGTAAAAAGATGGTTATGGGATATTACCACATTCGAATATCCAATCATCGCTCCATGATATAAATGTATCTCACGATCGGGGAATAGGAAGAAAACGAGAATTGCTCATACCCGACAATTTCACTCATTTCGTTTTTAATAAATGAAGAGTGAAGTGCATTGTTGGTGGTGATTTTTTGTTATTATATATACTTCGTAAGACATTATTTTTGTTTCGTTTCATTATTATGATTTCGATAAGACGTGAGCTGGAATTAATTGAATTATGCTCTTTCTTTTCGAATCAATGCCTTCTTTATTCCCAATAATCATATCTCCCTTTCAATAATAAAAGATAGTCGTGTAGAATAGTGATATATTAAACTAATATTTCCAATTATTATCTAACTACAATATAATTTTTTATAATGGGATTGTATAATAAATAATTGTGAATGATTTGAGATTGGAAAGTATTTTAATTTTCCAATGATCTTCAAATTCATCACACGCGTTTTTTTTTAGTGTAAGAACGATCATCATTTCTAATCAACTTTATTAAAAAAATGCGAGGTTCTTTAATTTTTTAATCTGACATAAAAAATGAATAAATAATCCACTTACCCAGTCAAATATTGAAAATGGTTTTTATTTTAGATGTCTGAATCGCAAAAATGATCGTATGATTATTATTATTATTATTATTATTATTATTATTATTATTATTATTAGTATATGAAAAAACAAATATATAAAAGAACCATCAAACAAAAATTGTAATGGACACAAGAAATTACAGCAAGTCATTCCAATACAAAGTAAGTTGGTAGTGATTGCTTTTTATATGTTATCTAATATCAACAAACTTACCAACAATAACTCACTCTATCGATCAGAAAAATTCACCTCGCTCGATTAAAATCTTCCTCACTATCAACCAACCATCTCTTTAAAGTGTCGACAGTGATTTCATGATCCAAGAGAACACGAGATGCAAAATCATATTCGTATTTGGCCATTTTCTTTATTCAAAATTGATATTCATTCGGAGTACACGGTACACCTCTTTAAGATGACATCTACACAGTCTTGATTTTTGACTCTTAACGAGGGTATTTAGAGTTTCGGTTAAATTTTATTTGATGCATGCAAAAAACTCGTTTTTATTTTGATTTTCACATGTGCTTTAAATCATGCACGCATCTTTATACTAATCACATGACGAAAAAAAACGTAAAAGATGCGATTGTTTCTAGATAGTCGAAGAAAGAAAAAATAATGTCAGATAGTTGGGGTGAACCTCAAATTAGAAATCAAGATGCATCTTGGGGGTTAGAAACATCCTCACAGGAACGAAATCCCGAAAATAACACTAATTTTTCGCAGCAAAAAGAACGTTCCTGGGAACAAGGTGACAATAATACTCAGAAAGGAGTTTGGGTTTTTTCCGAGTCAGACACTGCTATTCACGATTCAGCGTGGGAAGATACTACTCAAGCTATTATACGCGATTCGTCTTGGGATAATAAAAGAAAGGTAAAAGCAGCTGCTGATACGCCTTTGAATAATAAAAAAGTGACAAAATCCACTACCCGTGGTAATGCTGGTGGCAGTACGTCCTTGAATAATAGCAAAAAAGTAGAACCCAAAACAGTTGTTTCACCATGGAATACCGTTAAAGACGTAGCGAAATCTACTACTTCTACTGGTAGTACGTCGTTGAGTACTAACAAAAAAGCAGAACCAAAAACGGCTATTTCGCCGTGGGATGAAGATACTGAAGAGGCGGATAATCACGTCGAACATGAAAATGATAAATCCAATACTGGCGATTCACCATGGGATAATAGTGACAATGCTAGAGATTCACCATGGGTTAATAGTAATGTCAAGGCTATTGATGACTCACCGTGGGGTAGTCAGAAAAAAGCAAAACAAGATACTCGCGATTCGAAATGGGATAATAAAAGAAAAGTAGATTCGCGACGAGACAGTAAGAGAAAAGTAAATCCTGATAAGCCATGGAATAAAAGAAATAGTAGTGAGAACGTCGAAAAAAATAAATTTAAATCTGGCATTGGTGGATCATCTTTGGATAGCAATGCTGGAGATTCTCCTTGGGATAATAATAGTGTAAAAGAAGAGGCTAGTATTGCAGTTTCGTCATGGGATAATACTAAGAAAATCCAAGAGCAAAGTGCCGGAATCACATCCTGGGATAACATTAGTAATAATAATCAAGATCAGAGCGCTACAATTTCGTCTTGGGATGATAATAATAATAATAATAATAATAATAATAATAATAATAATAGTAATAATAATAATAATCAAGAACCGAATGCTGCAATTTCGACTTGGGATAACGATAATAATGATCATAGTGCCAAAATCACGTCATGGAGTGATGATATTGATGACGGTGTTAATGAGAATAATAATAATCGTCAAGAGCCGAATGCCGAAATCACGTTGGATAACAACAACAACAATAATCAAAAATCCGATCCCGGAATTTCATCATGGGATAACAATAATAATCAAGAACCGAATGCTGCAATTTCGACTTGGGAGAACAATAATAATGATCCGGATGCCAGAATCACGTCTTGGGGTGATGATAATGATGAGGATAAAGAGCCAAATGCCGGAATTGCGCCGTCGGATAACAACAATAGTCAAAAGTCCAATCCCAGAATTTCATCAGAGGATAACAATAATCATCATCATCAAGAGCCGAATACTGCAATTTCGCCTTTAGAGAACAATAGTAATGCCAGAATCGCGTCTTGGGATAACAATAATAATATCAATAGTAATGATTCGAATACCGGAATTACGTCTTGGAGTGATAATAGTGATCGTCAAGAGCCGAATGCCGAAATCGCGTCTTGGGATAATAATAATCATCCAAAGCCAAATACTGGAATCGCATCTTGGGATAACAATGATGATAATAACAATCAAGATCCGAATCCTGCAATTTCGTCGTGGGATGACAATAGTAGTAACAAGAAAAAGTCCAATCCTAGAATTTCATCACGAGATAATAATAATAACCGAAAGTCAAATATCGCAATTTCGACCTGTGATAGCAATGATAATAATCCGAATGCCGGAATCGCCTCTTGGGATAACAATGATGATTATAACAATCAAGATCCGAATCCCGCAATTTCGTCGTGGGATAACAACAATAATCATAATAATCAAAAGTCCAATCCTGGAATTTCATCATGGGATAACAATAGCAATTATCAAGAGCCGAATGCTGTAATCTCGACCTGGGATCACAATGATGATAATCCGAATGCCGGAATCTCGTCTTGGGATGACAATGACAATTATAATAATCCGAATGCGGGAATCGCGTCTTGGGGTGACAATAACAGCAACAATAAGGAAGTAGATTCATGGGGTAATAGCAACAATAAGGAAGAAGATTCATGGGGTAACAGCAACAATAAGGAAGAAGATTCATGGGGTAAGCAGCAACCAGAATCGACATGGGGCAATCATGAAGAACCATTTACAGGATATTCTGAAAAACCTCAAAATTGGAACAATAAAAATGAAGGATATCGAAAAGGTGGAGACAGCAATTATCGAGAAGAAAATAATCGATCATATAGAGGTGGTGGACCTCGAGGTGGAGGACGAGGATGGGGTGGAGGTGGTCGTGGTCGAGTTCGGGCAAACGATGGTCCGTCTTATCGTGATAATTATGATAATCCGCCCAGAGGTGAAGATACATTTCAACGAGGTCATGCAAATCGTGCATCTTTCAGTAGAAACAGCGATGGTATAATTGATTATCAGATTGCTTTTGATTCATATAAGGAAATTCATCTGCTTTATTTTATGCTATTTTCATTTAAATTAAATTATAAGAATCTCTCCCTGGTGAATCTAAATTAGCTGGTAGAATCACGAGTCTTTACGGAAGTATCCATGCACCAAAAAGACCAGATGGTGCACCTGTTGTTCCATACGTTAATAAAGATCGTGTCTTGACTGGTGGTGCTCATAAAGTATGTTTATTCCGTTCATAGTTAAAAATACCTTTAAAACAATTCTTAATTGTTATATATTAATAAATATTATTATTATCATAATTACCATATAGAAAGTAGACGAAGAAGAATTGGCTGCTCGAATGGAAAAAATCCGAATAAACAACGAAAAAATCAAGGAAAAATTCAAAGTGAGTTTTTTTACGATGATATAAACTCTCAGATTTGTTAAACTTAATTTAATTGATCGTAATAAGTTTCTATTATATTTCTTATATACAGATTGTAGAGCAAGACGAAGCTCAATTCCGCAAAGTTGAAGAAGAAAGAAAACAACAAGAATTACGAGATGCAGAAATTCAAAGAAGAAAGGTCGAAGAAGAAGAACAAGAGCAACGTAGGCGAGAAGATCAGCAAAGGATATTGCAAGCTCGAATTGAGTTAGTAGTCATTTCAATATATATGACAATTTATTTCATTTTTATTAAGTTTATAATTTGCATTCAAATTAAGTCGTTTTTTCGCTGATCTTAGTTCCGAGCGTGAAACTAATGCACGACGACGCACTGAAAATCGTGATTCACGCGAATGGGATAAAGAAAAACTTGATACGGACTGGAATTACGATCGAACACCACGAAATAACGGTTTTCGAGGAGGTGGTCGTGGTCGTGGTCGAAACCGTGGTCGAGGTAGTTTCCGCGAAGATCACGATGAATTTCCACGAAATTATCGCGGACAAAGTAACGACTTTGACAGAAGAAATTCGCGTGACTATAATGATGGCGGAGCAGGATGGGGAAGAGGAGGACGTGATCGTGAGGCTTATAACGCTGATAACAGGCCTCGTCATGGAAGGAGATATAGCGAACACAGAAATGAACCTAATAAAGAAGCATATGGAGGTGGAAATAGCTGGGCAGAACAACAAGAATTAGAACAAACAGGCATAAAATCTAAACTTCCTTGGGAAACTGAAAATGAAAATCCGAATGATGATAATAATTGGGGTGCATCTGACAACCAAGGTATTTACGTTATTATTTATATTGTTAATTTTTTTATAATATCATTTCCTACTATCTTTATAATTCTGAATTTTCCTAACGTTTTGTCATATTCAGCTCGTGATGCAAACTATTTCGAAACCAATGAGAACTCGGAACTTCCATCAAATTCTGAATCAGCATGGTCCAATGTACCAGAAGAAACGTTCAAAGCAGAATTTGGTTGGGATGATGAGCCAGAACAATCGCATGACCGACGAGCTTATAATGCATCCCACTCGGGTAATGATTGGAATTCACAGTCAAACAACCAACAACGCCTGCGCCAAGATGACAATTCATGGAAAAAAGGTGCGAATCATGAATAAATAGCATAGTACTGTCTTTTTACAGATATGGTAATTTCGTATACTTAAATTAAAAATAATCATGTTAGACATGCAATGGGATCCGACTTGTGTTAATGAAGAAACAGACGTTAAAGGATGGGATTGACAATAAGTAAATTTCTTTTTCTCAAAATATATAAGAATAGTAATAATTATAATTAAATAATAAATAATTATTTAGGAATCGACGATAAAACGCGATGAAATTAAAATATGCATCTCTGAATGCTTATTGGGCGTGGCTCTTTTAATTACTTCTTCCATTCACGTCCCGAGAGAAAGAGGTAAATCGTTCATTCTTATTGCCAGAAAAGGGAATGTTTGGTTTTTGCTAACTATTTTTTATCTTTCGTCAAGGTGAAAAATAACAGATACTTATATAACACATTCTGGAATGATATAAGTAACACATCTATAGGATAATGTTTGTATTATTTGGAGTATACATATTAGTTTTCTCTTTCTCTTTTTTTTTTGCTTTAGCTTAATTTTCGTGCTATTGTGTAAGTGGGCAAGTAAATACATTCGTTCATTTTGTAATATTTATTCATGAACATTGTAAATTAATAAAATTTTATTATACACATTTGCAAGAGTCATAATTCATCGAACTCTCACCAAATAATTAAATTAATTATTTCGAATTTTTTCCCAATTAATAATCTCTCATTAACTAACGTGCTCAAATAAGCAGTAGTAATAAAGGCGTGTCATTATGAAGCAATAATTTATTCGATAGAATTACTTACCGTTATATCAAGAATAATAATAAATAGTAATAGTAATAACAAAAATTAAATATATGTATCCACTAAAGAATCCCTCATCTCTTTAACAATAGCAGTTGGTTGTGCTTCATGAAGTTTGAAGATGCTTTCCACGACTGATAATTCAGTCGCAGTACTGTCTAATCCAGCAAAAGCACACCAATCGTTTACTACTAATCCTGCGCCGATTACATCAGAACCTCGATTTATTGTGCCTGCCTAAAATAAATGATCGACAATTTTTATTGTACACGCAGTGTGACACGTATATTAAAGATTTTTCTATTTACTTACCACCAATGGAACTTGAAGTAATGATGATAATTCATCCTGATCTTGAATAGTAGTTCTTGGATGCACCTTAAATTACATTCGATTATATCTTAGTAATCACGATTCTTTCTTTAAGTAAATGCCCGCCCAAAAAAAAAACATACCAAAGCGCCCTGATTGCTCAAAGCGCAATAACTCCCAACCAGTACATTTCCCGCAATGGTTTGTGTAAACACTTCAACATCTAACACATCTTTAATAATTTCTTGTGTCTCACGATCAACATCAGGATGAACCAATGCAACATAATCGTTACATGCTATCACGTTTCCTAATGCGGATAAACGTTCTTCTATTCGTTGTATTTTAACAGAATCTGGTAAAGAATTTCTTAGGTGTTGAAGTTCTTGATCTGTTGTGGTGCTTGGTACTAGTAGGCCTTTACTATTGCCTATTATTTGTGAATTCAAGATTAAGAATTTCGTGAGGATTATAGATTGAAGCTATGTAAACAGTAATAAGTAGTGGTGTGGTGGTAATTAGACTCACCTAGTGTCAATCTGCCAACGATCCGTGTGCCTGCTATTGAAGTATGTATCACTGGGATCACATCTCCCAATTCACCTTCAAATACACTATTCATTATATAATAAGAAGATAGTTCAATTCGTTTTTTTTTTTCCGTTCCAGTACTTTAGATAAATGATATATACGAAAAAACGAATCAGACCTGTAAAAGTTTTCTGAGCCTCCAATTGCAACCAAGCAATACTTATTAGTTAGGCGAGAGAATACACCAATATCGTTACTGTTTTCAAATTGTGCACCTGTATATTTGATGATTTATTTCAATGTGACATTGATCAAAATAAGACGGTAATCGTTCAAGATATAAGTATGTGTGTGCGGACATTAGTTCATTAGTTAGAGTATAAATCAAGATTGTTCAAACCAAAATTCACTCAACTCCAACTGTTTTTTACTTACGAACAGCCATTTTTTTTTTAATTCAGTTGAGGTATATTAAGTTATTATACGTTATATTGCCTGTTTTAATAGAAACAGAGAACTTGAGGCTCGAGAGTTTCGAAGAAATCAATGTCGATATATATTCTACGAGAGTATGACTAGACGCAGTTTACGCAGTGCTGCGCTAAAAAAATAAATATGACTCATGTGAATTTGTGAAATGATATAATAGTTGATCATCTCTGACCTTTGATTTATCTTTGCAATAATGAAAAAATATTCAATTTCCCATTTTGGGTTTCCCAAAATACTTCGAATGGTAAGACAATAATAAAAATAAATAAAATGATTGTTCGATTTGATGTTGATGTTGATTTGATTTGATTAATTGGCAATTATCTATAAATTATAAGGCTAAAAAAAGTCATTCGCTGGTGTCCCCATCACAAGTCTCACCTTTTTCTAAAAGGACATTGTACACGCATATCAGCACGAAACAACCAATATCAAAAAATACTATTCATATTAATAATGATTGTAGATCATTATTATCCCGTTCTTTTACTTTAATATCGACGAGACATGGTTTAAAAAATAACGAGAATGGTTTGTCTCCGGATTTTGGTGCGCATCGGCGGTTTTTATCTACCACGTTAAAAGAGAAACTTGATACGGTTAGTTTTCTTGGTTCGCTGGATCGCAAAGAGAATTTAGTTAATATGAAGTGATTTTTATTGTTCCATAGACAGTTAAGAGTAACGATTTGGTCTTATTTATGAAAGGAACTGTAGATGCTCCTCAGGTATTCAATTAAATTAATCGTCATTTATTTTTATTAATATCGAGTACATTATCAATAGTTATATTAACATTATCAATAGTGCGGATTTAGTCGAGCAGTGGTTCAAATACTTGACGCTCAAGGTAGATTATCGAGGATTGATTATTGTTCAAGCTTAAAATAATTAAATCCTGTATTTTGACAGGTGTCGATCTAGACAAAATCAAAACATTTAATGTGTTGGAAGATCAAGAATTGAGAGATGGCGTAAAGACATATTCGTAAGTGTAATTTTATCTGTAATCTTGTGTTTTTTATCAAATGAACTATTGATAATAAAATATGAATTCTAGGTCATGGCCGACAGTTCCTCAACTTTATGTAAAGGGTGAATTTGTCGGTGGATGTGATATTTTACTTCAGATGCATCAATCCGGTGAACTTGAAAAGTTATTGGAAAAAGAAGGAATAGTGCCACCTGAAGTAGAACAGCAACAATCATAGAAAACTCGATAATTTATATTTATTTCTGATTTAATAATTAATTTGTTATGCTGTGTCGGATTAGAAAATTTAGCGCTTTTTCCTTATTAAAGAAATTAATTCTTTTGCATCATTATATGTTAATTTATTTTCTATCTAAAGGATTTTATAATTGTAGATTATTGAACTGTATCTTGGCACAGAATTGAATACAAACATTGTTATTGTTATGGCAATTGTTGTCAATGTAAAACTTGACTTTCATTTCAAATTGGAAATGCATTATTTGTGTAATCATTTGATAAAACCTTTTATAAACGAGTCGCTATTTTTTTTATTGCATTTCCAACGATGAATACATTGAAATAAACCAACGACCAAAAAAAAAATTACGCACTTCAAAAATTAATATATAAATTTCCGATATTAATAATATTGTTATATAAAAAATGCTATGGATATTGAACTTCAATCAACCAATCAAAATCTGGTCGCCCGTGTTTATTAAACTTCTCGATATTCATATATTATTGCATTAATTCACGTAAACTACACACAAACTTTCCAAGCGCGTATTTTTTTATAGTCAGAACGCGTCCTCTGGACTTTTATTATATACTCCCTTCTCTGACCTTACATTTTTTGGTTTGCTCTTTATAACATTGTTTCGGGAATGTTTTATTCGGAAGCAATCCTTTCTAAAAAGGTTTGTTTTTTTACGAGAACCTGTGTAATTTAACTTTTAATGCAAACATGAATTTACCAAATTGACATCGTTGTTATAACTATAGGGTCCCCTGGCTAAGGTATGGCTAGCTGCTCATTGGGAACGGAAGCTTAGTAAAACACAGTTTTTACAGACTAACATACAGTCTTCAGTTGGTGAGTAATCAGTCTTGTGGAACATTTCAAAAATCAACCTGTCCCTACTTTGTTTATGAAACTAATACCTTAGTTATTATCATGTTCAGGTGCCATCCTTGGAGGAGACCAGCCACCGATGGCTCTCAGACTGTCTGGACAACTACTGCTCGGTGTCGTAAGGATATATTCGCGCAAAGCAAGATACCTACTGGAGGATTGTAATGAAGCACTTGTCAAAATCAAATTGGTGAGTTTAGACGGTATTTTTTTGTTAACTTTTGAAAAGAGACTTATATATATATAATAAATTGAATTTAGGCTTTTCGTCCTGGAATAGTTGATATGCCGGAAGAGCAAATTTCAGCTAGTTACAACGCTATCACACTCCCCGACATTATTACCGAGCTTGATATTTTGCTGCCAGATCCTGTTTTTAATTTAAAGTAAAATCTTCTTTTTTTAATTAATCATATTTTTACTTTTGATATACTTTATTGATGATGCATTTGGTGATAGAGTATGGGAAGATCAACATCAAATATCAGCAAATTTATTAAACAACAATATCGACAACAATATCAACGATATCAACAATAACAACATCAATAATAATACCAACGGAATTAATAACAACAATACGTCACGACCTCAAGATATCACGATTAGAGACGCGGTAGACATATCTCTCGACATTGGTGCTGGAGCCGATTTATTAGGGGATGCATTCGATATAGAAGATGGTCGAGGACTTCTTGAACTAAATTTTGACGATGAACTTGTTCCCAATAAAGCAAACGAAATGGACTTAGATTTGGATTTAGATTTAGATTTAGGTGATACTTATGGTTCACTGCAAAGAGGAGGCGAAGAAGCATCCATCGAAATAGAAAAAGCAAGAGACGCACAAATTGAACATTCTATTACTATGGAGGATCTTGGTGGTCCCATTGGTATGGACATCGATGATAAAGATCCATTACAATCAGAAGGTGCGCCGCTGGTTCCAGAAAAAGAGCCGAACGCGGTGGATCCTGATAATGTGATAGAAAAACCGGTGGCTGAAGTCGAGAGCGAAATGATGAATCTTAATTTGAATGGAGCGAACATAGCGAATTCAAGTATCGAAAATCCTATTGATGCTGATAATAGTAACAATATCGATAATAGTGAAAACAATATTGATAATAATAACAACAATATTGATAATCCCACTTTAGGGGATATAAGGTAAATTGACCATATTTAATGTTAATCTTTATCATTTTATTCAAATATCAATAATAAAGTTAAATATTTTTTGTCATAGTTTCGGTGATGAATCAGCAAACGCTATATTTGGCCTCGAATCACCACAGAACAATGTCAATGAAGGTGGCAAATTACTCTTTTTCAATGCTTGAGCTTATGACCACAATACAGTTTCTGATGTTCTTATTCTTTTACATAAAGATTTCCAATTTCAGACTCTCGAACATGAAGCACAGCCATCACAACATAGAAGAAAACGAAAATTAAATATTGATAAAGTGACCGAATTGCAATCGATACATATTGCCAATCAAATAAAAGATACCTCCGACATTATACTTGAGGTAAACAAGAAGTAAAATAATGGATTTTCAAAATATATGGAATAAACCTTGAGTAATAAACTCGCTTTTACGTATATATCATTATAAGCCTTCCTTTCTCCCAGCATCTCGTAAATTAATTCGTCTTGCGGAAATTCGACAAATAGGACCCAAATATTATCTCGATTTAACCGCTCCTCATAATGTTCCACCCGAATTACGTCATCTTTTCACAAGAAAACGCCCTCGTTTAGAGACAACGTCAACAAATAATGAGCCTACGCAACAAGAAGATTCACATATCGACTCGAATAATAATAATAATAATGATAAAGAGAATGATAATGTTAACAACAACCATAATAATGTCAATAATGTCATCGAGGATGTACAGGAGTCGCCTATAAATGATAATTCCATCGGAGATGAACAGGAGCCACAGATAACGGAGAATAACGCAGGGGATGAACAAGAGCTCCTGAAAAATGATAACGTCACCGGAGATGAACGACAGCCTTCAATACATGATGATAACCTTGCCGGAGAAGAACTAATAGCTCATGATGATTATGATTTTGATTTGGATGATGATTACGATAATACCAAAAATAATAATATTGAAGTATGAAAATTCAAATTCATATAGAAAGAAGAATGATGTTTATGGCATCAATAATGATTTTAATTGAGAATCTATTTATTGCATCATTAAATTAGCACACAGAGACTGGCGAAGATTTCGTTTCAAGTTTGCCCAGTCCAGTCAACACCGAAGGTAAGAATGCTCATAAAAATTTGATTGTCTCGGATTACGAAAACCGATCGACTAAACTAATTTATCTGATAATAATTGCTCTTAGTTAAATCACCAACCGGAGAAAACTCCTCATCATCGTCTACAATACAACTCTTGCAACGTGAATTCGAGAAATTAGAAAAGGATGGAGAGCCAAACGCTCAAAAGTCAACAAACTTTATTAGCTATCAAAAAGTCGCGGGAAAAGTACGAAATCTCATAATTCATCAGAAAAATTATTTCTGATTTTATTCTAACTAATTGATTGATCTATACAAATAGGCAAAACGACAAGAAGCTGTCAAACTCTTTTTCGAACTGCTCGTACTAAAAACAAAAGATGTCATTGACATAAAACAGAAAAAACCTTTTGGAGACATCGAAATTCGACCAAAGGTAATAATTAATTACTATGATCGAAATCAGGAAGTATAAGAAATTAATTTTTTCCTTTTACTACAGGATAAACAAATGTTGGATAAATATCTCACTTCTGAAAACTGATTCACGATACAATTATTTGAATTCTCTCGTGAAATATTTAATTTGTAAAAGACAGATATTTTTCATACTCGATAATCGATAATTAATAAATAGGCATCATTCGTGATGTGTGTGTGTAAAAAAATCCGTTTCTCTGCAATTTGTTCCAAAATGAATTCAAGCAATAAGCATTCATTCCACATCGGGGAATCGAACCCCGGCCGTCGCGGTGAAAGCGCGAAATCCTAACCACTGGACCAATGTGGATTTTACAACGATAACGGCGTTAAATTGATTAATTAAAATTTCTTTTCTAAAGGAGATGATTCTAGTGCTTTCTTATCTTCTTTGGTTTTCTAGAAATTTCCAGATTCGATTTATTACTTTTCTTTGTATACGTCATCATTAAAATATATTTAATATGGTCATTTTCCGATAAGACTGAAGCAATCACGAGATGGCAAACTGGAAAAACGTTAATAATTGGTACTGCACCGGCTTTGGGTTGTGTTAAAAGAAAGGAGAGGGTTTGTTAAAACTGAGATACTGATAATTATTTTAACATGATTTACTTTGTTCCTCGACGGCTACCGGTTGTATCAACTTTTTTAGGCATTGGTATTATGTTATCACCTTTTCTTTTAGATATGCTTTTCCTTTCAATAAATTCCAGAATTAATCGAATGATTTTATTATAGGACGACCAAAAATTGTATAAATTGGACAAAAGACTATTTTAGCGCAACATTCAAAGACTTTTCTGCGGAACATGATGGGATTAGTGTAAAAATAGATAATGTTGACAATTGTTCAGGCGACGTGGATCTGAGCAACCGAAAGGGAAAGATTATAACTATTTATGACATTCAATTGGATTTAGGATGGTCTGGTATGTATATGATGCGTTATTTATAAAATATAATTGTTTATTTGCATGATCGTATGTGCATGAAACATTTCTTTTCCGTTTATTTATTTATATATATACATATAGGTAGCTCACCTGATGGCACAGAGGCCAAAGGAACGATCAATATACCAGAAGTGGCTCACGATACCGAACCGGATGATTTTGTGGCAAGTCTCTATTACTATTTTGTAATTTTTACTAGCATTAAATGTAAAGTTATATGATATTTGATTTTGATTTTGCTTTTATTTTTTCAAGTTTGATATTTCAGTGGATGATGAAAATAAATTCAAAGAGCCCATCAAAGATGTTGTTCGTCAACATTTAGTTCCAAGAATTCGGGAAATATTACAGAATTTCACTAAGGATCTTGTTGAAAGTATGTTTTATTAATGAAAGTTAATATTAGTTTCATTTATCGAGCGTTTCAAAAAACTATAAATTCATTTCTATATAATTTATAATATATATAATAGATAATAGCAAGGATGTTTATATTGAACCTTCACAACTTGGTGCTGCAACTCCTCCAAGAGCTGCAACTCCAGTTACTGCAGCAACAGTAGGATCTGCTTCAACTGAAACCGAAACTAAGACTACAACTACCACGTCCACTAAATTAACTGTAAACGTTGCCAAATTGACAGAGTCGATCGAGTTTCAAACCTCAGCAGATCAAATCTACGAAGCATATCTCGATCCTAATCGTGTTGCTATTTGGGCAAGAGCAAAACCTGAATTGGCTCGGCATGTTGGTGGTGCTTTTAGTTTATTTGGTGGAAATATTACCGGTGTCTTTACTGAACTGGTAAGTTTCACGAGTGCGTAAAAGCTGTTAAACATAACAATTAAAACATTATGAATTTCTAGATTCCAAATCAAAGAATCGCTCAAACCTGGAGATTAACAACGTGGCCCGAAGGTAAATTGTATCAAAAAAAAAAGCTATAAGCTAAAAATTATTTTCATTGTTTGGTGCTTATTTATATTTTTGTTATCTCGGATCTTTGATTAAAAATTAGGACATTATTCGAATGTCGTCCTACAGTTTGATCAGAAAAGCGACTCTACTACCGTGCACGTAACACACGATGGAGTCCCAGTGGGTGAGGAAGAAATTGTTCGACGTAATTGGCAAAACTATTACTGGAATCCGATTAAAAGCGTTTTCGGGTACGCATACTTCTCTTCTACTTATGATTATTCGTCGTCATCTTCTTCTGCAACTGGTTCAAAAAAACGATCATTGTTGAAATCTTCAAAGCCAAAATCATCATCAGCTTCAAAAAGAACTAGTCGTAATACTAGTAGTAGTGGTAGTAATAGTAGTAACCGTAGACCTAAACATAAAAGTCATAAAAATAGTAAAGAATCGGGGGGTGGTGGTGCTTTCGGTTTTGGTGTTACTGTAGCAATGGTACTGACCGCAGTTGTTTTGGGATTTGTGTTTTCTACGCGTTCTACTTCTGCATCTTCCACCACATCATCATCTTTGTAGATATGGTGCACTTATATGAGAATTGATTGTGAGTCATTGAATCTTGAGTCTCTATCAGTCAATGATTTCTTGTAGAAGAATCAATGAAAAACCTCTACAACACCAATAACTAAAACACGAAGGAATTATCACCAATAGACAATAGACGGATCGACGAAAAACAAGGTAACGAACGACGAAGAATAGAATCACCGTAATCGTGAAAAACGTCAATAAATTTAAGTGTATTTTCACCAAATCAGAACAATCTCTTTATTTAGACAGTAGTCACTACTTAATAAACTGCAGCTTAATAATAAATAAAATTTGGAAATAAATGGAATTATTTTTTTTGCTGTATGAAAAAAAATGTTTGATCAACTTTATCTCGTGACTTGAAATTCAAATAATAATAACCAACCTTGAAAAACTACTATCTTTTTAAATTCTCAAAAATCATTCCGTAATGAATGATTCTTCGTCATTACCAAATCAAAATGCATTAATGTTTGAAGAAAACGAAGAAGTACTCTGTTTTCAAGGATCCTTACTTTATAAAGCTAAAGTAGGTAAAATAAGTAAAAAGATCCTTGATCGGAAATCTAATTATTGAAAATAAGTTTTAAAGATCTCTCGCACGATTAAAAAGTTATAAAACCCTTTTTTCTGAAATTATAGATCTTAAAATCGGAAAAATGTCAAACAGTGGATGTTTTGGGATCAAGTGTGGAAAGTTCATACTATCTTTTACAATTTATAGAAAGCAATTCTAGGTTTGTATAGAATAATCTTTGTCTATTGCTTTGGAGATTGCTGCTTAATAAAAATGAACCAATTTCTTCTTTGTACTAGTATTAAAGATGAATGGGTTGTCAGCAGTAGAATTTTAAAGTTGACAAGTGAGAACCTTCAAAAGCAAATCCAACTTCATGAGAAATTTATTCAGTCAATAGAGAATAATACTTTTATATCGAAAGAAGAATTGATAAAAGAATCAATGAATCGATTCTCAAACAGCCAAATTAATAGAAATGATAGTTTATTCGGTAATTCAGCATCAAAAATTCAAAGGGATAATTCCGAATTGAAAGTCGAGTTAACCAAAAATGATTCCAGCACGGATAATAATGAAACGAATATCATGAGGGAAACTCAAGCTTCGCTAAATAACAATGATAAGGAAAGTGAAACTTTGAATTCGGAATTTAAAGAGAAAGATGGAATTTTACCACTCGAGGAGTTTTCATTCGACGAGTTAAATGAATTATACAATAATGATTACGAAGAATATTCAGACTCTAAATCATCTTCGCAGGTATACTATTAAATACATGCGACTAAAATAAAGGATTAAAAAAAATTTCAATCTATTGAAATAATTTTTTTATTATCTGCAATCTGTTAGGAAGAGCTGAAAGAGCAAGAGGAGTCTTCTTGTACGGATAATGAGTCAGATGTGTCAGATGCTCATTTTGAATTTCCTGAATTTCTCATGCACAAACTTTGTGAAGATCGTGAAAATGTCGTAAAACACGACAAAGTGAGCCAGAGACTTTTCTGAAATTAATCCCTCAATTATCAACAAATTAATGTTTCTTCTATAAATAAATCAGTTTATCTCAACTCCGCGGGAAATTACGGTTAAGCAAATTCTAGAGCGATGGATCATCTATCAAAAAGTAGAAGATGGCTTTGGTGTTAACTCGATGGATGCTGATGATGACGATGATGAAGAAATGACTTTAGAAGACACAATAAATCGGAAAGGTAGCTCAATAATACGTGATAATGCTAATGTTCAACATGACGCCATCAATATTGACATTCCTCACGATGATGATAATGATGAGTCTGATGAATCGACTTCCGATTTCGATTCAGAAATAAAGTAAATATCACATCACTGATGTAAAGCCTTCTGCAACAATTGTACTAATTTACCTGCTTTCTCTATAGAGATATTTACTCAGAGATGGCTGAAGGTCTCATGGAACATTTCGATCGTGTATTGATTCGCAACTTATTGTACACTAATGAGCAACCAATTTCACATCAAAATTTAAAGTTTTCAGAAATCTATGGTGCTGAACATTTACTTCGATTATTATGTAAAGATTTTATTACAATAAAGATCTATTAATGAGAATTTAAATTAATATTTGAATCTCTTTTAAATTTCTCTGATTATTTCAATTTTCACATTTTCACAGATCAGTTGCCTTCTTTCTTGGAATTGATGAAATTGACACAACACGCAATCAAAGAATTAAATTACCGATGCACTCAAATCATGGAGTAAATATATAATAGATTTTCATTATCTAAATTATTGTCGATTATTAACATCATTCATTTTCTTTCACAAGTTTTTTGATCAAGAATGCCAATGAATTTTTCACCACTTCATCGTCGACAAAAACAAGGAAATTCAAAGATCTCTCAAAGAACGCCGAAACTAGAACTACAATGAGAAAAACAAGAGAAACAAGAAATCCAGTGAAAAGGAAAAGACGAAAAGTTACAACGAAAAAACCAAAGCTAACAGAACGTGTGGCGAAAAGATCAACGGCCACCACAAAAAAAGAAACAGAACCTTCTCCGAAAAAACCAAAGATTAATATCGTCTTAGAAGGTAAAATATTTTAATTATTATATTTTTGAAATTTTGACAATTAATCGTTTTATAATAATATCTTAGACTATATTTGTGAAAATTGTGTAACGACGTTCTCCACACAGTGGCGATTAGGTCTAAACGGAGAAAGACTGTGTAATGGTAGTGTATATGATTTGATTAAAATCATTGATTCATTTCTAAAAAAAATTTTTTTTTACTTTTAGCTTGTTGTGTCTATGAAAGACGGCACGGAAAACCTCGCCCTTACAGAACCGCATATAAAGCAAGAAAATCAAAGAACAAGCGATAATTGTCGTCAGAGATTATTTAATGTTTTTTGCTTTTTTTAATCAGCGAGTTATAACACAAAAATAATCGGGTCTTTTATAAATTCATTGCTTTATTATTCTTAATTTCTCTCATCGAATGTCTTTGAAGTTTATTAGAATTAGATCATTTAGTTTTAGTGTATCATTAATGAAAGTCTTTTATAACGGACCTCTCTCTGTCCATTTCTTTGATTGAATTTGACTCATATTTTAACGCGCGTAAAATAAGTCAATCGGTCATAGTCATTATCTCTACAAGTAATATTATGTACCCAAATTGTATCATCGAAGAGAATTGTAATTTTACAATACTGGCAATAATAGGTTTCTTTCTAGAAACAATGGATATCAGATTCGATTTAGAGGCGCTAAAATTTGACTTCTCGGTGAAATGTTCTGCTCACTTTAAAGATAGCCTCCAATTTATTTATTTAGGTCCCCTTTTACAATTCATGCAGTAACATTCGTATTTTCTTTACGCAAGGGATTTGAAAATGAAGATTTTTCGGCAACACATTTCATTTTTGAATTTAAGTAACGGAAATAGTTTGAATTTTTTTATTATACGCGACATATTACAAATCACGTGTCGTTATGAAATTGCAGGGCGACCAATATTATTGATTCATGTAATGAATATAAAAAGATAGAGTGCTAACCTTGAATTCATCCCCTTCTGTTGCAATTACAATCGTCTTGAGGGTTATAATACTTTTTACTATTAGAATATCGCGAATAATCATAATCTCAATAATATTAACCTCAAATCCAGAAATATCTGTTCATCACTATATTAGCAATGTGATTCCTTACCGTAAATGGCCATATAAAAGACCCCAGGTCTGTTACATTTCACGATTCAGAAACCTGTATTATAGCAGGGGTCTATGCGAACATCCACTATATAAACACATTAAAAAAATTCAATAAACCTAGTTTTATTCTTAATAGCCGAGATTTTGCGCTGGGTACAATATAGGGTCTACTATTAGAGGTGATCTTTTATATGGCCATTTATTCAGAACATAGTCACTTTTGATGGATAAACCGGCCACAGAAATTTTGATTTATTATAAGGCCGGTTTATAAAACATAGTAAATCACTATAAACCGGAATTTTTGGAAAGTTTTACTAATGGAACGGAGCCCGCCGGTCTATCGAGTCACTATGTATAACCAAACAGCTTTCAAGTTGATTTATTTTCTATCGGAGAATCTTAGAGGGTTCCTGGACATTTCACTTGGTTTGTACACACCCCTACAGTATATTACCGGAAATTTCAAAAATGAATTTGTCACTTTGTAACCCGATATCTCGACATCCAATGATCCCATTCGAACAAAAATATTACCATTAGATTCGTTTCAACTATACGAATCTAATGGTGATATTTTTGTTCGAATGGGATCACTGGATGTCGAGATATCGGGTTACAAAGTGACAAATTCATTTTTGAAATTTCCGGTAATATACTGTAGGGGTGTGTATATAAGGTGTACTTACCTATTTTCGTGCACTTTTTTTAGCATATATAAAAATTTTTATATACATAATATTTTTGCTAAAATTTTAAATATTAAATTTATAACAAATAATATACTTAATTATGTAAATTATTTATTATTATATATTGAAAAAAATGTACAATAAAAATTAAAATCTATCACTTTAACCCTAACTTTAACTCTAACATGTCCTATTTTCATGCATCTATAATCTTTTTCATTATATACTTAATTAAATTTATATATTTTGGCTTTGTTTCTTGTTTTTTATTTAATTTATTGTGTGATTAATATTACCAATTTGTTTTAATCCTCTTGTATTATTTTAAGTCTAAACTAGATTTTAATTAATAAATTTTGAGATATTTGCAAGAAAATAAGCTCTCAAATTATAAATTGTTATTGAAAAAATGTAAATATATTTTTTATTTTAAACATATTTAATTAATAGTCTAAACAAGATTTTTATAATAAAATTCTGAGATACTCAGTATATAAAAATAAATATAATTGCAAAAAATAGATTTTAAATTTTATTCATATTATCAACTATTATTGAATAATATAAATATATTTAAATTTCATTCTGAACACATTTATTTAATAATCTAAAGTAGATTTTCTTAATAAAATTTTGAGATATTGAGTGCACAAAAATAGAAAAATGCACAAAAATAGGTAAGTACATCTTACTTCAAAAATTTTATATTCTAGAAACTGAATACAAGCATGTCTTTAAAAAGAATGTGCATTTGTATTTAAATAAATTATCCAACTAATTAATCAAAAATGTGTACATGATCCAGTAATAAAATATTAAAATTAAAGTTATTATATATGATAATTGTTACAATTGAATTGATTTATATTAATATTATTATAAATTAATATTTTTTATATTTTCTAATTTTATTAAATAATTAAATTTATATTTTATTAAATAAGATAAAGTTCTAAAAAAAGTTTAATTTAGTTCAAAATTTAAATTTAATTCAAAATCTGATTCAAATTTAGTTTAAATTTTGAATTTAATCAAAAATTCAGCTTGAATTCAAGCAAATATTTTAAAAAAATTCTAAGTTATAAATTATAATTAGAGTTACAAATTAATATAAAATTATTATTATTAATAATGAATATTCAAAAAATTATATAAATTTAAAAAATATTTTCAATTATTATAATTTTTAATTTGCTTTAATTATATTATAGTAATAATATAAATTATCTTAAATTATAAAATATTGTAAAAATTCAAAATAATAATTATAACAAAAATATGTAACAATTTTTATATACTCTTGTAATTTCTTGTATCATATCTATCATTTTTCATGTTATGTTTATCATTTCTTGCATAACATGTTAGAAATTAATACAGATCTATATTTAATACTTCTTAATGTTGCGCTAAATAGATTAGATGTAAAATATAGATCATATTATTGATTTGGATACACATTGTTTTTAATTACTTTTATTTTTATTCATTTTTTTTCTTTTATTATTTTTAATTCATGTTAATTATCTTTTATTATTATTTATATTTCATACATATTTCATTAAGTACAGCATAACTTGAAGACGCGTCATCTTTAAGATTAATAATTTAGAATCAATCACTCTCTATTTTATTATTAATTTATTTGTAATTTGTTTAACATCAATTATATATTTAAATGTCTGTTCTGTACTATAACTCTTTAGATTTTTTCACTATTTAATAAATAAAGAAATAAGCTTTATTAAAATTAAAACTGAAAACTAT